TACTTTTTACAACTTTGGACAGTACTCAATATACTTAAATCAACTACTTTGGAGAGATGCAGTTGTATAGCTCTGTTTAATTTGGATAAGTGGAGGCACATTGGCAGTCGGAGCGTACTGTCTTCAACTGTCTAGAACGTGGAGGAGAAATCAAAAGAGCAAAAGCTGTGTGAGCAGCTCTCACTGTCAGTTTAGTCGTGTAAAAACTTGGGAAATGAAGAATCTACAGCTTATAAATATATATAATTCTAAAACTATAAAGCTGACATTGTCTTTGTCTTTCTTCAATTGCCGAGAGTATATCAGTGTTCTGTTCAACTAAACAGGCCCACACTAAAATAAATTGAAACTAGAAGATCATTATATTTATATATTACATTTCATTACATACACTAGACATTTTTATTTGGTTGTCCGGGGTGAGATATTTTTTAAGAAGTAAAACATTTGCTGTTGCTCAACAAAGGTTGTGAAACACAGAGATATACTGGAGGTCCTTTGAGTAAATACATTTTTTTGTGGTAGGCTTTACATCCCCAAGTTAAAAGTGTGCTGCAAATATAATAGTAATATCACATTTGATATAAGTCTATAGTACAGAACTGTATTTATCAATAATTGAAACTTGTTTTTGTTATACTCAAGCGTAAATGGACCCTAAAAGAAAATCAATTTAATAGCAGAGGCTGTAAAAACAAGGTTTGCAAAATCAAGATCCTCAACTACTAGGTTCAGTGCTTTTTATTATTAAATTCAAAATCAATCATTCTGTATTTCTTTTTTTTTAGCTCTAGAAAAAAATCCCTGTTTTATAGGCAGAAACAAATGAAAAGGTGTTTCAAAATTTAAAAGAAATACGGTGAGCAGATTAAAAAGAGGGAGACCGGAGGCTGATCTTAATCATGCTGATGTTGGAGGAGTGTTCACTCATGTGAGAAAGGCTACAGAAGGATGGCCCGAGGGCAGCAGGAGTCATCATTCAGCATAAATAAAGTCAAGATGTTCAGGCTGTGAGATATCTCACTTCCTCAGCCTCCACCTCGCTGGTGACGAATTCTGCCCTGACAGTCGATGCATGAGAAGGGCTGGGGGCTGTCACTGCAGAGCAGGAATCAGAGTGAGTGAAGGATGGAGGGATTGAGGTGCAGAAGGAACTGGAGGAGGAAGAGGAGGAATTGATAGAGTGTAAGGTGATGTCAGAAAGACTGATATGTTTTTTTTTCCACAGGCTGCTCGGCATTAGAGAAAATTTTTTTATTTATTTATTTATATATATTTATAATAAATTAGTTAAAGGAACAGCCACATACTTAAACCTGAAAGCGTGGATGAGCTATGAGCAGAGAGTCATTTGTAGCCTCACTGGCTCATCAACAACTGTGGTCTGAGGCAAAACAAATTTACCTCGTGGAAATGCCCGTCATCCCCACCAGAACTTGTGAGAGAGCTGCAAGCAATGTTTTTGACTGATTGACAGCTGTGTCGACAGCTGTTTCCACATTGAGCCTTTCCTGGTCGAAGCCTTACACATGGCTGCTTAGAAAACACATGAAGTGCTAGAAGGATGAAAATTACCTTCCTTTTTTAAAATGTATCTGTGGCTAGGTCAACTTTGTTAGCTAAGTCTGAGAGTAATGCTGTTGTTTGTAATATCGATTATATGTACATATTTATATACTGTACTCTCTAGACTTTAAGTCGCACCCTTTTTCACCCTTTAGCTGGGTTTGCGACTTATACTCAGGTGCGACTTATATATCAAAATATATAATTTTACGTGGTCGTTATTTTCACACAGACAGCCACTAGAGGGCATAAATTATATATATATATATATATATATATATTCCCTTTATAAGGTTGTCAGCTTTGATGATTTGATGATTTGATGATTTGAATTTTAAATGCAGCCCCCAAGTTGAGGTAGCATTGGCAAGCAATACTTCTTCTCCAATGCCTAGGCCTATGCCACTAAAAAACCTATTCAAGATACATGTTCAAAATACATGTTTTTTTACACAGTTGTCTCTGGATTGTCACGGAAAAAAAGAAGAAGAGAGGACGTGAATGCGGCTGAACAAAGCTGTTTGTGACCAGGTGCGTACAGACTGCTGAAGAACCCTGGGGGGACATCCTAGTCTGAGCCGTACTGAAATAATACTTTACATTCCACTCTCTGGCAGTCAGCCAGGGGAATACCAGATTCCTGTATAACGAACATGAAAAAAACACAACTTGACAGCTCCATTCATAACAATGAGAACATAAATATGATGAATATATTCTGCTCTGCAGCATGAAAACTGTGCTGGAATTACCATCGAATTTCCAAGGTGAAGAACATTTCATTACTGCAGGCTGGTCTTTGGAGATAGGAGTGGATTATCTCCACGGTTTGAGCTGTTCCCTAAAAAAGTAGGTCCCTCACCGTTCATTCAGCCATCCATGCCAGCATAAATATCTGCTTCCTGTCCTATGGACTCTATGGATGTGTAGACAGTAGGAATGACACAAATTACTGTCATTTTTCTGCAATAAATGTGATGAGAGTGTGACAGTTGTCCATGAGACACGGTTTATCTAGGTTAAATAATCAATAATATTTGTTTGTTGTTTTTCTTTAAATGAATTGTTCAGATTTGATTCATATTTCTCTTCTGTTTTGTCCTGTGTTTTGTTTAATCCTTGTTCCTGTTTGCACATGTTTGTCCAGCTGGTCATGTCATTCAGACTCCTGTTTACTGCCAGCTCTCCTTCACACTTCAGACATATTTGCCCATCCTCATTAAGAGTGTGCTATTTAATACTGAAACACAGAAATATTCCATCAGGTCCTCTTAAACGCCCTACAATATGCTGCCTGTGTCAGAATGACTCTTCTACGTCTGAGCCCTGCACACTGACGTAGTCCTCTGCTGTACTTACGTCATCCATCCCCCCACTCCTGCTCCCCAGATATGGATTTGGGAAATGAATAAAAAAGGCAACAAAATGTTCCTGCTGTGGTAACAGACTCCTGGACTGAGTCCAGCTGTGAACCGGCTCATACTCTTTTCATCTTTCTTTTTTATATTATCGTGACACACGTGACACCTCTTTTGTCTTGCTCTGCACCGGATTAAAAAAGTTAAAATATATTAGAATAGTTTGGCAGTTACGGTGTAAAATCTGCTTAAAATTCATTCAAAAAAATCTAAAAATTATCAAATGAATAAAGAAATGCATACGTACTGTTTCTGAATGTTATACCACTTTTCTGTCATACCCTTAATACACAACAGTGTGGTAATGAAATGTAGATGTTTCAAGTGTGGAATATTTACATTATGACCCAATTACAAATACTCTTAAAGAGAAAATCCAAATCATTTTTAACCATGTCATTGAAAAAGAAGTAAATGTAATGTAAGAAAAATGTGATGTAAGAAACATTCAAATACAACATCTACAAACACCACCTTTTTTGGAAGATTTATACCCATTTAATATCCAGTCTGAAATGCATTTATGGTCATTTTAAATTTTAAGAAATAAAGCAGTAAGATTCACATTGACTCTGTGTAATTCCTTAAACTTATAAGATAAACCTCTTAACTTAAGTTCATAGAGTACTAGAAAAAAACAAGCTACAGAGCAACATCATCATTGCATCATTGTAAAGGCTACACCACAGGAGAAAGGGTTCACAGCAGAGTGTTTGTGCAGTGGTGTTAAACCTCAGGTGTGGGAGGTTACCGTACAGTAGGTCAGAACCACTGACGGACAACACTGACATCATCACAGTTCAACTCAGGAATCAGACACTGTTAGATGAATCATGTTAGATAACAGTACAGTAGCAAAATATTCTCTGAATCTTTTTTCCAGACAAAACCCACACTCCAAAAGTCTGGTACAAATGTTGCTTCGTAACGACTGGCCTGCGTTCACAGACAACTTCTCCTGGTGCTTTGTCAACAACAGGATTCTTCTTCGTCTACAACGAGCCGTTTCTCTGTGTTTGGTCTCGGCTGAGGTCACTTAGTGGTCTTGAAGACCAGGTTTATGCATTTAAACAGTCAATCTCCTTTAAATCCATTTCTGGGCAGTGTCCAAAATTCATTTTAAGTATTACTCAGCGTTTTCTGTCTTTATGCCAAAACAGCTAAATGACAGTGGCCTCATGCCTGCTGCATAGAAATGAGAGGGATGGTATTGATTTTCTGACTAAAATGTCATAATTCACTTTTTTCTACACCACAAGGTTACACACCAGCTGAAACCACAAGAACAGCTACAACAGTCAACATTTTTCCTGTCGAATCCTCCAAAAAAACCCAGGTCCACCTTCCTTTCTGCCCTGACTCAGAATTACCCCTCTTTGTGTCATTACAGCTAGGACACGTGTCATTGTGACAAATCTCTACCTGCCTGGACCAAAACATTTCTCTGACAGCAGATTCAGGCCAATGTAAGGGGAAAGAAACAAGATCATTTTGGGGAAAAGGAACAAACAAATAACAAAACAGAGTCGGCCAAAGAAAAATGCCTCTGAGCTAGAGAGGACATTTGACAAATATGCAAAAATGGGAAAATGTAGACATGTGGAATGTGTGTGTTATAAATAAAAGAGAGGCGCTTAATACACGTGGGGTGAAAAAAAAAAAAGAATTTCACCTCACACCAGTTTTACTAAGAAAAGAAAGGGAGCACTAACACATGCCACAGTGCTTGGTCAGCAGGTAATATCAAACACGTCTCACGCCTCCTCTGACTTCACGTGTCTGCCTCCCGTTAGAATTCAGACTCACGTTAAAACCCTGCAGAGCAGAGAAACGTGGGTCCTTCAATAGGATAAAAAAGAATTTAATATTTAAAGCACTAATTTGTCCCTTTGAAACGGAGACAAATTGTCTAGAGGTAATTTTGACCTTCAGTTCGTTCAATGGCTTGAAAAGGCCAATTGAAATGGAGAAAGTGGGGGAAAACGGCCAACTGAAAACCTTTGCACGAATGCACAAACACTCTCTCCCTCATGTCTCTCTCTCTCTCTGTCTCTCTCTGTCTCTATCTGAGACACACACACATAAAATTAGCATTTTTATATAGATTTCCCCAGAGAGCTGTGGGTGTTACATCAGCAGACTATCAACAAATGGACCATGGCATTTAAAAAACTTATTGAGGAAATTAATACCTATGTCTACATAATAGCTCATTGTGCTCTGGAGAGTGTACAGCAGACCAGGCATAATCCTCCGAGGACCCTCTTACATTAGAGCACAAACTATACTGCTGTTATAGTGGCAATTTCACGAGACAAGAAAAAACACCAATCCTGTTCAGACTTATTTTCATTCCAAGTGCAGATGCTCTGAGTGAACCAGACTGTGTTTGCATCAGTAAAGAGAAGTAATATGTTCCACCAACTCACTTCATCAACCTTAGGGTCTAACGCCACAAGTTCCTGGAGCAACTGCTACCAATTTTGCTTGGGATTTAGGGGATGTATTTAAAAAAAAAAAACCAAAAAAAAAAAAAAACCAAACTACATTGTATTCATATTTGTTGAATTTCACAACTTTGAATTAGAGATGGAATTTCAGCCCCATGGTGACAGTGAACTGAATCGAGAGCCTGACACATGATCTGCACACAGTACTTTTCACAGTGATGTTAAATGTTGCCACATAGAAACAGATTGCAGTAAGAATCGAAGTTTTTTTTTAACGTTATTTTCTTCCTCTAAAGTCTGAGAGATGTAAAGAGCCTAATCTTTCTGCATTAAACATAAGCCTTCTCTTCTGTACTTCCAGAAATCCTTCATCAGTCTGACGGTACTGACAGAGTCCCTTTGATTCAGTCCAAACTGAGAAAACGCAACATCAAGTATTCAAAAGATGCTGTGATTCTTGGAGGTCTGCACGGCCTTGGGATCTCAGCACACGACTTGAAAATCCATCACGTTGCATTTAGAGTCAAACAGACAGAGTGAATCCGAGGGGATATTTTACTGTGTTCAGAAGCTGCATTGACAACAACACAGGGACAATTTCCAGGTAGAGCTTCAGACCGCATTCAAACAAGGAAACAAACAATTTCTAAACAACATGGGTGCACATTTTCAAATGTACACCGTTCGTTGTAACTCAATTACTTACAGTAGACGTCCCAAATCATCAACTACAAACATCCATTCATCCTTTATCTATCACCTGTTCCTTTTCAGGGTCACAGGGACTGGAGCCAACAGCAGCTATCAACAGCGAGGGCGGGGTAGAGCAGGACAGTTTGCCAGTCCATCACAGTTTGTCACATAGAGACCAACAAACCTTCACACTCACTTTCATACTGTACTTATAGTCAGTTCAGAATGTTCGATCAACCCAGGCATGTTTTTGGGATGTGGGAGGAAAAAGGCGTGATTGTGTTAAAAAGACTGAGATCCTCATCAGCTCCATTTGACCTTATATTCACGCCATGTTGCATAACTGTCATGAGATCCTTTGTTAAAGCAGGACGTGTGGTCCTGCGTGGGAGCTCTTCCTCTCCATGTTTGTACTCAGTGGTAATCAAAGGAGGTTTAATTAGCATGAAAAGATTAGTCTGAATTAACTTGTTATAACACACTGGCTTTCATAGTCTAAGAATATGACCCTCGTAGTTAGGAGGAATATTGTCCGACAGGAGACAGGCTAACGCTGCCCACGTTGTTTTTTGTTTTTTTTAACAGTAGGGCTAATTCCTCTGCTTGAGCTCAGTGCTTACTCTGTGGAAGTTTGAACGAAGGGAGCTCAGGCTGTTGATTGCCACTCCCAGATGCAGCAGGCACAACACAGATGGGCTGAAAGTTTTTATATTTTCCCAGAAGGCTGCTTCAGCAGTGTTCTGTTGTGGCTTTTCCCTGTCCTGTTACTCATGATTACTTTCAAAATTACAACTATCATTCTCACTGAGTAGCTCAAGATAAAAAAAAAAAAAGATTTCTCCGTCTTTGTCAGCATCTTTAAAGATCCTTTGGGTATCAGTCTATGAGAGAACCTCTTAGTTTATATCAGTGGTTCTCAAAGTGGGGGGTGGGCCCTGTAGGGGCCTCAGAGTTTTTGCATAGTGGCATAGTGAGGTCCATAATTTTTGCTTTCCATTTTTTCTTTATTTGTACCTCAGTGGAGACAGAATGTTTTTCAGAATTACATTGCTGGTTAAATAAAAGTTTTAGGATTAGAGATATTTTGTAAGTCTATGACGATAGATTAGATAGAACTTTATTAAGCCCTCGGAAATTCCTTTTGGGAAATTCAATCGGTCATCTTTATCCTGACCTGGCATTTTGATCTCAAGTACATTTTGCTACTTTGAAAAACAATACCTTGAATTTTTAGGTAACAGAACATTTGATTTTTAATAAGCTCTTGAGTCAAGTTTAAAGTGTGGATTTGTGTTGCAGGTGTTTTTATGCCTCAGTATCATTTACATGACTGGATTTATTTCCACAGGCTGCACACTGCTCTGCTCTGAGAGTAGATGTGACTGTGAGGAGCATTACGATGCCTGGACACTGGTGACCTTTCACTGAGACAAGTTTTTAAAAATGACAGCAGGACCACTCCTGGAGAGTGTAGCTCTCATCCAGCCTCACACTTGGCCATATACCTAAAAAAACATGACACTTACCATTACAACCTGACATGTGTGCATGGCATTTGTACGGTAGCCTCTGAAGTAAAACCTAAAATGATTACGTGTTTCCTCTAACCATTACAGGGACATCTCTAAATAACTACATTTATAAATTGCACATCACACTATGAGTTATTGCTGGGGAATTTAATATATTACAGTAACCCAACCCCTGTTGGCCAGAGTGGTGTAGTGACAGGAATCCTGCCTGCATGCAGAGGATTCTGGGTTTGATACCACACTGTCCCAAAATCCCAGGGTGGGCAGCACCAGGAATGTTTTACACATCCAACATAAAAACTGTTCCAAATCAGTGTGCAGACCACCACTGTGGTGACCCCTGAGGAAGACCCCGGCCAGCGTGAGTCTTCACAGTAATCTAAAACTGTAATATCTGTTGCTGATATGTGCTCTCAGAAGAGTTTGCTGAAGTTAAATGTAGTAGTGAAAGTGGAAACAGAGGAAACACTCTAAAAATACTGTAAGAGAAGTACTACATTTTGCAGGAATATCCAGTATTCCCTCATCCAGGCTGCTTTAATAATTGATAGACTCTCAGTCTCCAATGTTCTACTTTCCAAGAATCCAATAGCGATTTGTGTCTGAACTGCTTTCATCTTCTCATTTTTCACAGTGATTTCAGGGACTGTCGCTCCTAAAACCCCTGCTCATTATTACCTCAGTCTTATTATAATCTTCCCTACAAACAACAACAGCTGCCTGTGTGAACAAAAGGTGGATTTATTTACCCCTAAATATTACATTTGTCCTTACTGCGACAACTTAAAGATCAAACTACTCCTCACATCTGTATTCATTCAGTAGAGAAAAGACAGACACTGAATGGCAGTGTTGCAGCAAATAGCCATAAAACTAGCATGTCCATTTTGTTCACAGACGTCCTTCATCACTTACATTTTGACAAAGGGATCAGAGTAGCCGTTAGAGTCCATGGCAGCCAGATGAGCGCAGCGTATAATGCCAACGAGCAGACAACCTTTCTCTGTGTTGTAGCACAATGACACCAGGATACGGCCGCGCTGAGGACACAGACAATAAGCAAACATTGATAAATATATGGGCTGCACACATGCTGCACATAAGTAAGTCCAGCCCAAAAAAACAACTCAAACTAATATAACACGATCCAATGTGTGGCGTACAACTGGTGTTAGTAAACAATACTGTCTTCTGCGTATAGCAGCACATGACAACATATGTTTCCCTCTGTTGCCGTTATTTACCGTTACCTAGTTTAAACAGTAACGGTAAGTAACGGTAAGTAAGTAACGCCATATGTAGGAAGGATGGAACAAGACTTTCTTGATAAATTTGGCAATGTAATCACATAAAGTTGTCTGTATATACATTTATATGAGTTTTTACTTAAAGCAAAAATAATAACAAAAGGGAGCAGATTAAAATGGATGTATACATTAACTGAAAATGTAAAGTTTGAAGATTTGTTTTTTGTTTCATGATTCTTCACTTTAAAATGCTGCAACATTTTTCTACGCGTTGATCACATCTGTCCTTCTTGACTTGACACGATGGCGACCACATCATTGAACCGTGACTCTACTGCACTGGTGGTAATGGTTATATATACTCTCAGTGGTATTTTCAGTCAAGATGGATTGAATGATAGATTATAATAATAGAAGCAGATGTAAACTTGATGAGAACATTACCTCCTCCTCCGCCACCACTGCTCCCTGCTCCACTGCCTGGCTGTTGGTTTCTTTATTCTGACATGAGAGGGATAGATTAAGGGGAGGGAGAGAGAGAGAGAGAGAGAGAGAGAGAGGTTTTACCATCAGGGTATCTAGGTGAAGATCTATTACACAACATAATATTGTATTTCAAATAGATGCTGATATCCTCAAGGCTAACAGTAGGGGCTACACCGGTTACATATATATATATATATATATATGTTCACTATTTGTTAGCACAGGAGAACACACACACACACACACACAGGCAAATCACATACCTGTGCAATTCTCTCCAAACCCATATTGTAGCGTTTGCTCTCTCCTTCCTTCAGTTTCTTCAGCGCCACTCTGACCTCTCCGATGAATTCATTCCTTCCCAGCCTGTCCATGTCACAGACACACAACCTTCACACACACACACACACACACAACGCAAGGGAATAAGACGAGTCAGTTTAAAACAAAAACATCACATGATCTCAGTCAGTACAAAGTTAATCCAGTCAAATACTGCACTCTGCAAAGTGCAACACAACAATAAGTCATCTGCTTCATCTGCAGCACACGATGAGCTCCGAGTCGCTCCACGGCTGCTTCTCTGTGCCTGTAATGAAACGTGGTTAAATTGCCGAGGGTTTCCAGAGGATTTTAATCACTCCCTTCTCCGCTGTTACTCCATCAGACAGTAATTTTCCATAATTGAACCATGTGGGTTGAAAAAGATTGTCTGAAGCAGGTTCTCAGACCTCACAGTGAATACTGGCTGTGGTAAATACGTGCAAGAAATGAAAAGTCATTTAGTGACAAGCAGTTGTAAATAATATATTTGGAGTGCTTTCTGAAACTTCTCTCTTCACCACAGAGTATAAGGCAGAGGCAGCCCAGGGCATGTCATACAGAGAGGCCACCACAGAACTAACGACTGTACTACACAGCAGATATGGTACAGAAGTCAAACTAATTACATGACTATGATCAGGTACAGTATGTCTACAGTACAAAGGTCAAAACGCCTCAACGTAATTCAATTAATGTTGGTTTGATCAAAGGCACAGTTGGGTTCTACTGTAAACCATTAAAGTCTTTAATGTCATTTCCCATCGGCAGAAATCCAATATAATAATGTAATAATGAATAACTAACTATAACTATAGTTAGTTATAGTTAGTATAGTTATATAACTATAGTAACTGGAGGCTTGGCTATTGGTGGATCACCTGGACATAGATGAGGTCACAGTGGATGAGTATAACTTAGTAATTGATAAATAAATACATTTGTTATTAGGACAGTCCAAATGAAATTAATCAGATTAAAAATATTAACAAATTGCAAAAAAATTAAAACCAGAAGGGAAACAATAACATCTACACTGTTATGTTGCAACAATATAGACAGCACGTCCATCACAATTTCACAGTGTACATATTGGAGGGCTCTTTTATAGGGCTCTGTACAGCCTGCTTATAATATACAGAAGGAGGTTTCCATTTAAGGGCCAGAGCAGAGACATTTATAAGTGCACTTCACATCAGAACTCCCACTGAAATGAAGAACCTTATTTACACTGAGCTGATGAGTGGGGGAATACAAACAAGTACACCTGGTTCCACAGTGTTTGCATCAAAACATGGCACTGTTTATTCACCAGTTACAGCAAATATTCAGTTGAAAAGCATAGATTATTCTTTGGAGACAAAGCCAAATCAATTTCCCACCTTCATTGCTGTTTCCCTCTAAAGTAAGTTATACACAGAGTGCACTCACTCAAAAGCATGGTGATGTCTATCACAGGGGGGGATATTCAATCAGCCACAGAAGAGTCTTCACAGACCATCACCTGCTACAATATTCTCTCTGTGCTCAAATATTCCCTGCTGGATCGCTGCTGCGGCTGATTTCGTCCGCCTGCTCCTTACTTTTCATTCTTTATTTATTTCCGCTCTCTATTTCTCACTCTCGCCCTCTTCTCCACTGTACCTGACATTTGGACAGCCTGGTTCCAGCCTTTTAGTCATAGCTGATGAGTATCTGTGACAGAAGCTTCAGAATAACTCTGACTCATGACCACGGCTGTCAGGTGATTTATGTGCCATTTCTTGTCATACATGCAGGGTGACCGTGATGAGATAAGGTGTGAAATATTACACCATGTTCCACCTAAACCTCTTTGCTTCCATCTGTTTTTTTTTTTTTCCAAAACCTTATTTTCTGAATTCATGACAGAGAACAAACAGATGCCCATTGAGTCGGAGGAACATGTTGTGCTACAGTCTGTCCAGCGTGGATTCATTTTCTTATCTAAACAACATCAGCAGGGAGTCCTTTGTGCCTTTAGTTCTTGTATGGTTTGGAACTTTTTGTAACTGACATTGATGGCACTCTGGGTCCTGCTCTGTCACTTCAAAGTAAAACGTCTTTTTTTGGTCTTTCAGAGAAGCTGTCCCCAACCTGCTGTTGTACCACAGACCACTGGTGCAGGACTCTTTCTTTTATATAAAGATATATATTTTAATATATATCTATATATAAATATCCCACAAGTGACAAATTGAATCTTGAATGTGATTTTAAATCAACATGATTTTTGCAATAGAATATTTGGGCGTCACTAAAAGGACATGAATCTATATATTTCTATTTAAATATCTTTAAATTTTGTCTTTTTTGCAATCTTTTTTTAATAAAATCTACTTGTTTTTAATTGAAATTCACATTTGTTGTAATAGCAGACAATTACGTCAGGAAAAAGTTGTTTTTTTTATGGATTGATTGAAATGGTTTGGCTTAAGAAGCCATTTTCCAAGAATTAAAAAGATTTCTGTATTGTGGGTACAAAGGCAAATTTGATATCTCTGCGATGTCTATTTTATAAATGTGTGCAGCATGAATGAACTTGGAGCCTCAAAATGAATGGAATGAGCTGGAACCTCTCCCTCAGGTCACATCAACCGATTTAAACTGATTTAAAGGACGCAGTTCTAATGTGTCAGACCTGTCTGTCAGCTTCAGTCTCACTTTAGACTTTGTAACTAACTGAATCAATATATGGTTAGATTTTAATTAAGTAAGTGAGTGCCAATACACAGAGGTATTTAACTGCACTGTTTCCTGTTCAATCAATTACTTTCGTAAAACAACAAAGTCAAAATACTCATCTATTTTGTATTGCATTTTAAGGCAGCAGACCAACTCTTTTGGGAAGGTGGGCTGCTGCAAATTTACTCCAGACAAAAAAGGAAAACGAATGACTCATGTAATCATTAAGAGAAAAGGAACGGGGAAAAAAACGACCCACAGCATGACAAGAAAATTAAACGACAACGCACACGGCGTGATTTACTCCTTCATTCTCTGTGGATCATGAACTGCTAATAGAAACAACTGTTAAGAGTCCGTCAGTCAAACTAAATACTTCACTTACATCAGCATACGGAACACATTCATTTTGTTCCTCACTCATTATATAAGCCCTGTCCTGGATCACACCTGTGATGTCACACAGTCAATCTCAGCCTCATCCAACAGTTAATAAGAAATGAACTGCCACAGCAGACAAACTATTACTAGGACTGACAGAGAAACAGGGAAATTGAAAGGGGAGCGTGGACGCTGTCTGTGGATAGACTTCCAAAAAATGCACCATTTGCACACATACAAAACCTGAACGTCTGTACAGCCGCCTCTCATCACATCTCCACATGCCTCATCCTCTGAGTTAAGTCATTACTATCAATCATCCCATTGATGAAATGCACAGTTTAAATGCGATTTCCTCCCAGACATCCATCTATGTAAAACACACCTCAGTTTTTTGTGCGTCATTACAGTGAGTTCAGCAATTTCTCACTTGAAGATTGCCCAAAGGCAGACAACAGATTGCAGAGAATGACAAAGTCATAAATTTGGACCTGATCTGGAAATTGTGTCAGCTCCACTGCAAAAAAACAAACAAAGAAAACACATCTTCAATCACTCCTGACTTCAAAGGGGATGAGCCTTTACTGGAGGTTTTTGGAAATTCTCCTTTAAATGCTTCAAATTGTTTTTCCTAATATCTCTTTCCTCGTTCACTCAGACTTGCAGAGCTACTGTGTGAAGTGGTTAGTGTGTGTAGCATGATTGGAGACCACACACCCAGCTAACACTGCGGGCACAGCTGCCAGAGTAGAACCACCCCAAGGTCACACCAGAGTGTCTGGGGGTTAAACTCTTACCTATCAGATTGCTCCATGTCTTTACTGAAGAACTGCACTGGTTGCTTTTATTTTCAGATCTAATTCAGAATATAAAATAATTCAGAGACAGGATTAGCCCGTATGAGAACAACCTTAACGACTGAATAAGAACAGAATAACTGTCGCAATACACTTTTCTGCTAATTTGAATGAGAGTATTTTCATCTGTGTACACAGACATACAAATACCGTAAATACTTTTTAGGTTGGTTTCCAAGTATGCAGTGGACAGGAAGGAAATGTTGCAGTCGCCCCTCGCTGTATTGCGGTTTGGCTGTGGCGAGGAAGGAAATGTTGCAGTCGCCCCTCGTTGTATCGTGGTTCGGATGTCGCACCCTCAGTGAATCGCAGGTTTTTATTATTTTAAATGTATTCTTGTATTGCAGATTATTCACGCTAACGTTCTTTTTTGCAATATATAAAAACAATTTCCAGTATTTTCATTATTTTTGTGATAAAATAAGCGTTTTCTAGCCTAAGAATCACAGTACCAGTATTTTCATTATTTTTGTGATAAATAAGCGTTTTTGAAGTATTTGAAGAGTATTTAGTCTTGCTCCTGTCTTTGTCTCTGATGTTAAAATTCTTCCAAGCAGTTGCGATCGTTATATAAAGTACCCTGAACTGCAGTATGAAAACAGAAAACACTGGCTGACCGTCTGTTGTTGAAAATCTGTTACTGAGTATTGGGTCTCATGTTTGTGTGTACCAGTGTTTGAAGTATTTGAAGAGTATTCCAATGAAGTATCTTGTGATATGATCTTCAGTGACTTGAATTAAATTGGTAACTACAAAGAAATAGTTAATGTCCTTAGAAATGCTTTAATCCTTTGTGACAGTGTGCTGTACTCTTTTTTCTCTTTATATTAACTTTTTTTTCAAATACTAAATTAATTAATTTAAGACAACATAACTCCTTAACCTGTTCAAGGGTGTGTACTTGTTCAAAAGTGTGATTTGTGGATATAAAGGGATTTACCCTGAGGATTGATTTGTGGGAGGGAATCACAAAGTCAAAGTACTGCACAGTGTTAAGCTCTGGAACCCATGAATGTTAAGTGGGCAGGAGGTGTAGTGATGAGAATGGAGGAGGAAGGCAGAACAGCACAGGTGGGTGAGTAGATTTGGAGAATGTGGGAGAGGTTTGGAGCTGCTGGGTGGTGAAGAGCCCTGTAGGTAAGAAGAAGGTTTGAATCCACCAGTCAGTGCTGTGTTTGAACGGGAGCCCGTGTTAGATGTTAGAGCACAGTGATTCCTCTGATGATGATGATGAAGAAAGACGCGGCAGAGCTGTTACAGGTTATTACAGATGACTAGAGTGTTGACAAACTGAAGGAAGAACTGAAGCGAATCCAGTTTCTCAGATACAGTTTAGACTTAAAAATGTTGATAAATTTGGTATTTTCACTAAATTATGATCTAAGATTTTTTCCCACTTTCCGACCTCAGAATTTGGTGCATTTTTACTGCAACATAAAAAGGTGATTTGGTCCTAATGTGTAGTGAACAAAAATACTTCTAATACAAAAATCAGTGATAAATTGAAGATTGTTTTAGTTACTGTTTTCATCACCTTCAATGTAAAAAAAATAAAATACTTCTAATACAAAAATCAGTGATTTGAAGATTGTTTTAGTTACTGTTTTACTTTGATCATCACCTTCAATGTAAAAAAAATCTTTATTTTGAATGAAAAAGCTAAAGCCTTCTGATGTTCACATCCACCTAGTTCAAGCCCTTCTCTCTTTAGCCACATTTGAACCCCTCTAACCTTCAGGCAGTGCTAGGTAGGGAGTGATTCCGGGCAGATGTTAGTCCGTGTGATCCTCACAGCACAGGAGGATCACACGGACCCCCGCTGTGACTGGCAGGCCAATACTCAGCGAGTAAACATCTCCCCAGGGACGCCTCTCTATTTCTCTATTCTCCAGCTGCTTGCTGTTCTGTGTAGAGTAACGAGAACAAAGTCAGTGTTTTGGCTCAGGATTCATGTTGGAGCCTGAAGAGCTTTGAGCGTCGCTGCGTTTTCGCTGCCAGACGGCATTTCATTCACTGTCTCACATACAGTATTTCTTACTGCCCTCATTCTTTCAATTTTTGGCTGCCGTTTGAGGAAACACCCCATCGCTTGACCTTTTTCTAGCTCTCTCTTTAAACCAAGTACGGACTCATTCTTGTCAAGCTGGCCTGCCACGCTCCCTCATCTACACCACCCTTAACTGTCACTCGACATCATTCATGCTTTAGCTCATTCTCCGAGTCGGTCTTGGCATCTCGCTCTTCTCTTTCTCTTTCCCCCAGCGTCGTATACAAACCCACACCCCCACACACACACACACTTCCTTCCTCATTGTGACTAGATGATGCCTGCTGGTTTATGCCTATAGGCTACAGTGTGTCCTTGAACAGAGGACAGGAGGGTTTTCTTCAGTTCCTGGGGTCATGCGTGTGCCTGTGGGTTTGTGTGTGTCTGGTGAGAACAGTTGTAATTACTGACTGCCTTAACATACGTCACAACAGGATCTATAATCATGAATGTGTTTGGGTGTATAAGCTGTGAGGTTATCCATACTCCTGCATTTGTGCTTGTTTTTTCTTACAATAATAATAACAACAATAATAATTATTATTATGTATAATTATAATACTAACTGACTAAGCAACAACCTCACACAGCAAACACATTCACCAACACAACACACACGCAGCTTCACCTCTCCACCGTCTCAGACATGCAGCGTGACACCTGCACGTCAGACTTTTTGGGCCAAGATTGTAACGCTCGACCTCGATCACTCCATCTGCAGAGCTCTGCAGAGGGGAAGGGGCGGGACTTCTGAGCCAACACTGGAGCAACAGCAAGTGGAACAGTTGGTTGGTGTCACCTGGATGCAATTATGAGTCACCTGTATAAGCCAACTGGGAAGCACAGACGGCTGCTGGTTATCCACCAGAGGATTAAAAGGACGGAGCTTCCTTCTCCACTTAATAAATTGGCCACATGTCCGTCTGGGGAATAGCACTAATTGGTGGCCACAAAGTAACCAACCTACCTGAGCGTTTTGGTAGTCATGTCAGCTGCTGTGATGCCATGGTACACCAGTGTCTCATTCCACACTGGGTTTAATGTATTCTTCAGGGTTTTTGTCCTTAGCTTGTTTGCCTGAGGAGGAAAGTGAAAGGACAAATGAGTAGCCATTCATCATAAGCTGCACTGTGTAAGAAACTGAATGTTGTCACATGTTTGGTGATAATGTCCAGCTTTGGGTTTTCAATATAACGCTGCAACATCCAGAAAATTCTAAGCTTTTGAAACTGAGATGTTTATGAAACAGTACTACATAAGAAAATAGAAAAAAAGTTCTTTGTTGTATTTAGTTTCATACATTAGGCATTTTCTCACTCAAAACTATTTTAGAAATAAATATACAGCAGTTTTTCTCTCAGAGTCTTGTGAAGCAAATATGAAACATGGTTTTACAGGGTTAAAAGTAGATCACAGTCATATTGATACTGATGCTAAGTTACTGTAAGGTCATTTTGTCAGACAGATTAAAACCATATAATAGCTGTGCCTTATTTGTCTTAAGTCAACGAGACATTTTCATAGTTATTACAGGGAACTTAATTCAGTTTCCCTCTGTATTTCAATATTTCTTCTTAATGTCTCTGGTGTCAATTATATAGAATTATGAACCGTCCCGTTCAGCCGTGACGTTCTCCAGGTGCTGCCACTGTTTACCTCAGATCATCTTACCAACGGGGACATTTTTAAGAACCTGCTGTTGAGTGTTTCACCGTTCTATCAAACAGCTGGATTGTCATCATTAGGAGGATGACACGCTTCAGTGATCTACAGTGATGAAACTTTAATAAAAAACAAAACAAAAACAAGTAAAGAAAGGATGGGATTTGAAGTGGAGCTCAGGGATTTGAATAAGATTTGATTCATTTTACTGTAAACTATCCATTTATGATTTTCCCACCAAAATAATCTGCTACAGAGATTCACAAATGTTTGTCCTCTGGCTGAAAGAATTAGATTCATAATCTGCTACAGAGATTCACAAATGTAAGAATTAGATTAATTATACATTTTTACACAAACTGCCAACGTGTTACTTGAACAAACACACATTCACGGTGTTGTCAATATTACATGGTGTTTACTCCTATGTGCCGTCACATGTCAGTACTAGCTATTTAATTTAGTACCTTCACATGACATCAGCTATGGAAGACCATAAACCTCTTAGGAAAATACATGTTTAAATCATTGGAGAGTCGACCTCATCTTTTCTGGCAAAGACGCAAGGTCTCTAAATTCTTTTACATCGCCTATGATATTAAAGGGAGGTGGGAGTGAGGGGTGAGAGCTGGGGTTAATGAGGAAGTTAAATTGAGAGGAATAATTAGGAGCGGGGAGAAAACACACCTGTTGTATGGTGGAAAGATAGAGTCAGGATTTGGGAATATAAGAGTAGCAGGGGACAATAAGAAATAGAAAAATGCGTGGGAACATCATTTATCTCCGTCCCACAGGAAATCTCAGACATCTGCTGCCTCCTTTGTAGAGGAGAGTGAGAGGACACAGGGCCTTCCTCCCCTCACCTTTACATCTGTCTCTTCAGCAGCATTTCAGTGGTGGATGCTTTAGCACCTGTCAGAACTGCATTACAACTTGTGGACCAGCTGAATACATTGCCCATAAAATCAGCATAAAAAATAAAGCTTTTCAGGAGAGAAAATGCTCATGAGGCCCCACAGCTCCCACTTCCATAAATAATAATAATACAAAAAATACAGTTTTTTTTCTACTATATTTTCCTGAGTTGCCTTTAAGATGTGCCTTTTCCCCAAATGTAATATTTAATGTCATAAATCACTCCTAACAAACGAACACGTTATCAATATCCGTCCACTGAAAGCCTTTCAGACACATTATCCTCCAATGGTGTAAAAAGGCCTTGTGGGACTAAAAGCAAAACTAATTAGTTTTTTGGCTGCAGGAGTGGATACATTAGTCGTGTAAAATAATAATATTTCTGAAGGACAGGGGATTAGTCAAACTTGTTTTTTCTTCATTTTGGCTTTTAAAATGATTCAGCCTCACATGATGTTGAAGTGTTTGTGCAGATTTTGAACTGCATAAATGGCACATATTTATACACGTACATAACTGTTACCCTAACACCACAACTTAGTCTGAACCATTATATAGAACTCTCTCTAACTTAGTGAAAACCAGCCACACAAATATGAATGTCCCATGATTATATATATATTACACAATAGTGTGTGCAGGTTTGTATTGAATTCAACTATCCTCTGAAATACTCTCAACAAATGTAATGATTTTTTCTGAATGTTAATTTTTTGAAGTTGTTGAAGTGGAGCGAAGATGAGCTCTTCCTAAAGATCAGCCACAGTGGGCGCAAATCCACTCAGGTTCTGTCTTTACTGGCAAGAATAAGAAAATAATAAGATATGGCAAAGAGACACAGTGACAATGGTGCTTTTGGAAAATTATAGTTATAATATATAGAGCAGTGATTTCTTTTTTTACCTGGGTCTCCAAATGACATCATAATATACTCTGAATAGCCAGCAGGGACAAAAAAAAAATATGCAACCCGTTCTTTAACATATTCAGAAACACATTTAATCCCCCCTCCCACTACTCCTTTCTGCCACAGTCAGCTTCTTGCTCCACCACCTCAGGGCAGGATGCTGAATCCTTCCTTCCTTCTATTTCTCCTCTCTTTGTTTTTGTCCCTAACCCCACTGTTGTGCCTTTGCAGCCACCCCGTCCTCATATCATTATCCTCTCACAGCACCATTTTCAAAATAAAACTTTTTGGCTGATTGTCTGTCTTGTAGATCCTGTTGGCCAAAAGGAACAAATGTTGTATTTTGTTGATTTTTTTAAACTCCTTCATTAGATCCATCGAGTGACAGGGGACTTAACAAATCAGAGAGAGTCATGACTGAGGCTTTACAGCTTTATCTGCCACATTCAGCTCAGGAGAAAAAAACTTGTCACAAACAATCTGCTCAGAGAATCAGCTGGATTATTATTCCAGAATATATTTCCTCACACAACCCCAGATCTACTGTCTGCCCTGTGACACTGTCAGCTTCCATCTTTCTTCTACACCAATTCAGAGCTTTGGCATCTGTTTGTAAATGTTTTATCTCTGGCTCCCCATCTGTCCATCACTCCTTCTCTCTCTCTCTCTTCTCTCTCTCCATTTGCCTGAATGAATCCTTTTATCTATGTCATACCCCCCCCAGTCCCCCTCTCTCTCTTCTCGGTCCCTACTTCCCAGAGCTGTAAGTGCACACACTGACTGCGAGTGAATTTTCCACCCGGATAAAGAACGGACAGATGACGGCACCAGTGACCACAACTGAAGTACCAGCAACCGATGTGTTTATGCATGTTTGCGTGTGAGAGCGAGGCAGTGTTGCAGAAGGAGGGATGCAGGGGAGCGTCTGACTGTGACTGTGACCAGAGCCTCAGCATGTAGAAACACAAGGTCAGAAACCACATGCGTTTCCATGTGACCGACCCTTGGAGACACTGTCCTGGACTGTGTGGTGGACAGCAGAAGAGTTCAGTATGGGAGGACACAGTGGGACAGGGAGGATGCTCATTGATCCTAACCAGCTTTTGACAAGTTAGCTCTGCTCGGAAAGTGAACTGTCAACGATTATTCACCGCAACGAACACTGACACACGGTTACAGTGTAGGTGTGCGAATGTGACTCTGTCATCATCACTTCCTATGCAGACTGACGTGGCCCCCGTCTGGTGGATATTCATTAAATGACAGTACATGGGCACTTACCTACTCAACAATGCTTTCTTTGCACCACCCGCCACTCTCGCCACCACTAACAACACCACTCTCTTCCCATCAACACTCGCCCGTTGACGTGAGCCGTGTAACAATCCTCCCTGTTTCCATGGCAACCACCTGCTGCTCTCGTCCCCTCATCTGTCTTTCCCTCCCTCTCTTTTTACACTCCCTCTCTGTTGTCTCCACACACTGTTGGTATTTCAAGGTCAAAGAGGGTCACAGTCAGATAGTGAGATAGAGAGAGATATAGGTGGAGAAATGGAGGAAAGCAGACCAATCACTACGGCTGAGAAGGAGGAGAGAGGGAGTCTGGAGGACATAAATCCTCCAGACATTGTTATTGTTAGCACCTTAGACCCCAGACAGTAGCCTCATTCAACCTATCTTGGCTCAGCGTCCTTCCCAGGTTTATCATAACCTAATTTCATGTCAACCTTGATCCAAAATGGCCGACAACAGGTTGCATGCTGTTGAAGCTGGGTGAGGCTGCTGTTGTGGTGAGTGCTAACATCACAGCCACCTTGATACAGTACAGCAGATCAGTGGTCCAGACCCACAGGGGGCAGTAACCAGACCAAACAACACCCTGACGTGTTCTCTGATCCACACGAAATGTCCAGTGACACAATGAATTCCGATATGTAAATCGGTGTTTCTTCTTTTATTCAATTCAATTATGTGTTACTGCCTCTAGTTATGAGAAATGAACTTTTTTTTTACCATGAGTGAGTGGAAGGTGATGAAGTGTCAGTGTGTGGGACAGTTCCAGGGTAATCGAATGTTACTCTAATTGTCACAGAGGTAAGGTAGAAGCAGTGACCTTGCTAGCCCCGGGCAGAAGATGAAGTTTGACGTATGGATCCGCCAATCCATTGGAGTCCATGGCTTTCAGTCCCTGTGGACATAAGCAGGCACATACCGCATACACACACACACACACACACACACACACACACACACACACAAGGACAGCAGTGCGGTGTCAGTGACATCATTGGGACCTCGTACACTTAACACAGCTGACAGGGTCAGAAAAAGACAGACACTGTAACAGCACATTTTCTACTGTGGTTACATCTGGAAATTTTAATTCCAAGCCATTTTTTTCCTTTGTACTCCAGGGAACCAGTCAGTCAGACTTGCATAATTAACATAACATGACAGTCAACAGTTTTTGTGGTGTCCTTCTATGACGTCCATGGTACATTAAAAAAAGACTGCGGAAAATATGACGACTCTTACAAACTAATAATAAATCACGTAGGAATGGTTTAGCTGGACTTTCAGGGGTATTAATGTTACCATGAAGGCTGTGTGTCTGGTGTTGGACTGTGTTTACCTTTGCTTTGTGAATAGTACAATGAAGACAGTTGTTCTCCTGATCAAACAGCAGGCTGAACTCCAGTGTTCCCAGGTAGGCTAGAATCAGAGTGAAAAATATCCACAGAAATGACTGCCAGTGTTTGGATGGACACACTTGTCAACAAACATGCACACTCTAAACCTCTGAGTCATATTTGCAGCAGATGGCCACTTAGAAACATGAAGCTGCCTAATACAAATTGATCTGTTTTGTCTAATTTCAGCCTGATAAAGAGTAAGCCCTCTGATAACTAGGAGTCCTACTACTGTAACCTTGTCTGAAGATCATCCCAGGCACTTGATTCAGAGAAACACGAGAGTGGGAGTAAAAAAACAACTTTAAAATATTAATAAGCGTGTGTTGCACATCTGAGACCACACTGTTCACTTCACGGCCGTGAAAGCTGCTGCCTTTTTTAGTGAATATTTATAATAGAAACAAAACTTTTTCAACAAAAAAAATATAAATAAAACAACTTACTGTCATCATCATCAGAGTCGGCCACCTCCTCTCTGTCTCTGTCGTTGTACGCCCTCCTCTCTGCGTCCTTGTATCCTCCACCCGTCTCCCCATTGAAAGTCTCCTCTTTCAAAATCTTCTTCTCCCTCGGAGGCGGTGGCGTGCAGGGGTAATCATGAAATCGAGGGAAAAAGTCTGAGATCTGTGGGATTGGGAGGATGGGACCTGGGCACACATTGATGGCAAAGTGCTCCTGCATAGAGATCTTGACCGGTGAAGGGGGGGGCATAGGTGTGGAGTGGGGTGTTGCTGCGGGGGAGGAAGCTGATGAGGAAGGAGAAGAGGTGGAAGTGGAGGAAGGGGGGATGGCCAGGTGAGAGGTGGAGGGCGGCGGCGGGGGCTTGGAGACGCTCATGTGGTTTCTCAGATGTGGCTGCAAAAATGTGGGTGAGGCAGAGAGAGAAAGAGGTGAGATAATAACAGACGGAGTCAAAGCAGAAGGAGAAAAACAGGAGGCCGGGAAAATGAAACAAACAGAGAAGATTTTTTCCGGACATGAGTCAAATTTTGAGTTCTAAAAGCCGTAACAAAGTTTGTTTGTTTCTATTAAGTTAGTTAGTGAGAGATTCACACACATACATCAGGTCTAAACTTCCTGTGGAGAAGAAAAAACACATTTCCTTCTATGCACTAAGACCTTCCAATCCTGACACCCTAAAAGCCAGAAGAGAATTTTCCAGAATCATTGGCACTTCAAGTGTGACTCACTGAAAGTGTCTGCACACCAATTACGCGCCCTAAAGGGATATTCAAATACAGTGCTGTAAAGTACAAACAAGTGATGTCACTTACGCACTTGTACCAAACTTTAATCCCTTCCTTATCTCACTCTTTCACTGCACACTACCTCTAAGTCCCCCGAGACACATTTACATAATACCATGAGAAGTCTTTCTGAGGCTTCAGCTTATTTGTCATTGGTGGAAGTGTAATGACATTTACCAATATCTGACATCATTAAACCAAATGCCTTTACAAAGACACCGGAGAAACACTTCTGCTAACACACCTTGTCTGATTGTTGTTGTGGCATATGTAATGGTTCTGGCATTTCAATATATTCAATGACAATAACCAGATCATTTATACGCTGACATTCATGTATTTAATACAAATATATACACATCATGATTTGAATAGGTGATGTATACATGCAATGTCTAAAATAAACATTGTTCTTTTTTTAACATTATCCACTAGAAGCGTCACTGCCCTCTGCCTGCATTTTTACTATTTTTCCAATGCCTTTAAGATTACAAGAAATTTGAGATGAGTGATAAATATTACCACTTAAACAATTCCTTTAGCATGAGTAGAGGTAAAAATGGTTACAGGACATCCAATTTTGCAGTTGGTGTACATCAATGGGTTAGAATTTAAGCTTGGCTGTGACATTTTTCAGAGGGCTGCTTCTGTTGTGATTTAATTTTTTGCAGGCGTAGCAGTTTCCGTCATGAGTTGAACATCTAGTCTGAATGACTAAAAGTCTACACTGTGCCTGAAGGGAAAAGAAATCTGAATCTGGAGTTGTCCTGCACAAAACAACAATCTGACACTAGTGTTCCCAACTCATGGAGCAGGATGTTGTAAATCTGTTTCTATCACCCCTTTAAATACCAATGCATAGAATACAACAAAACGGATTATATAATAATTTACTATCTGTAAGTCATGTTTAATGTTATCTTGTGAAGCTAGTTTCTTTGGCAGCAAAGGTTTGTTTTTAGAAAATTATAAAAAAAAATAAAAACAGTGATGAGACATTTGTCCTCCTTTTTTTAAGCTTTTAGCTAATGCCTCTCTTATTAAGATTTCAGTAATGTGCATATTTTCTAGCTGTGCCATTAGTCTTGTGGTGCTTTAGAATAAAAGTATTGACTCCCAGAGTATGAATGACAAATCAACAGACACTACTGTATTATATGTTTTTCACTATTGTTATTTGGATGAATGTAGAAAAGTATTCCAATAGCATCTTTTGGATGAATGTAGAAAAGTATTCCAAAAAACTGTCAGTGTTTAAAGTATCATTCACTGAGGCAGTATGAGAGTAGTATACAGTAGTATATATTCTAAATCTTGTTGTGTACTTATCTGTATAGTTAAGCTGCAACTACAGTAACACTCTTGTAGCAAACATGTTAGTGAGATTAGCCATGTTCAAGGTTTTACAGGACTGTGGGATTATTCCTCCGGACGCGGGTTGTCATATTTGATAAATCTGGCAGAGGATGAACAAATAAATGGTGCCGGTCTGTCTGAAGACTATCTGTAGGCTGTACACAGAATTAACTAAAGCATGTGTCGTCGACCCAACTCATCGTATTTTTCAGTGAAGGCAAAAAAACTAAAAATACCACAATCCATTACATCCATAGTTCACCTGAAGAGCATCATAAAATATTGACTTTTTCCCTTTTCATATTCCAAAACACGCACACGTTGACACACTGAGGTTTTCTTCCATACGCTGACAATTTACAGCAACAACATTGAGGGGAAGACTCTGCTGCAACCTCCTCACATCAAGTAGTTGTAGTTGCACTTACTCATATACACACGCATACACACACATACATGTATGTGGCTGGCGACAAAGATTCAAACTGTCTGATAACCTTCACTCATCACTCAAACTCGTCGGCTCTTATGTAACAGATCCCCAATTTCATGCTTGGGTGCAAACCATTACTTGGAGCAGGTTGCTTAAAAACTCACTCATCTCACCCTGCGTTACGCAGTCATGCACACGTACAAGTTTGTGTGTGCACATGGCACCTCCATGTCCACGTCCACATTCACGCAAACACACATGAGCAGGACTGCAGTGGTCCACATGTACGTACCCAGTGACAGTCTTCATCTTTGCAAGCACTCCATCTTGTTTGCTCTCACGTCCTCTGTCTCTTTCACACTGTGAAGCATGCAGACCAGCTTGACTTAATATATCCCTCTCTA